AAGTGGTTAGTAAGTTCTTTTTGTTCAAAGTTTTATTATACAGTAAAAGATTTGTTTGATTTCTATTGGCTCACTTCATATATAAATATTTATAAAATTTCATTTCAAATTGGATGTTCTGTAGGTTTATATAAAATACTGTAAGTTTGTTTTATCCATTTCACTAAATCAAGATCACGGGACACTTCCTGATCTGTATGTGTACAAGCGAAAACTTCGTTCCCTCCCCCAATATCCAATGGTTCAGGATATTTATATTACAAATACCAACTCAATTCCCACTTAAATTGTCCTATGTGATCATGTTAATAATCAATTTAATGTGTTTAAAAGAAAAATAAATCTGATTTCTTTATTAGATTTAACGCTATTAGAGATATTGTTTAGCACGCAAGATGTTTGGTTTTTATATTAACATATTACTATTATAATATACGTATTATCTTTTGTATAAATAAATCACCAAAACGATCATAAATAAATGATTACAGGTTGTAGAGCCAAGCTAACAATAAATAAGTTTTTTTTTTTGTTACCTTAGGAGTCTAATGATTATTATAGATTTAATAGAAGTATACACCGAAAGCCATAACCACACAAATAATTGTGTCCTAATTACAATAAATCAAATTAATTATTAAATAAGTGCAAAGACAAATAATTGCCCATTAGAATTCTTTATTATACTCCGTTGATGAGTAAAGTGATAGTCGACAGAGTATAATAAAAAACTTGTTAAAATAAGGTAAACCATATTACATACGTTTTTAAAGATTTCTTGGGCATAATTGTCAGTATTAGGGTCCCATAAACCATTAATTTGCATTCTAAAAAGAAAATATTATGTTAAAATTAATCTATTAAAGATATGTATATAAAAACAAAAAGTGATTTTTTTTTTGGATTACCTAGCTCCAACTCCCTTATTTTCTAGTATAGTAACATTAACAACATACTTATACCTATTAAGGTCTAAACCTAATTATGTTATGAATTAAAAAATTTGGAATTAGATTCAACAGAATGTGATAATGTAAATCGTGTAAAAAAGATAATAATAGTAAAAAAGTGACAACCTAATAACTTTGCCTTAATTCCTTCTGCTATTTCATGAGCCCACCCAGGAGCTTGATCTTTATCATAAATAGCTTTTTCTAATCTTTCTTTAAGAATACTTTGAATTATTTGTTTTACTAAACGTGGATTAAACCTGAAAATTTATTATTTAATTAAGTGAAGGAATTAAAAATCTTAAACCTCCGCAACCAAATATAATTCCAAAAATATATATATATCATGGAATAGAATACATACTTTTGAAAAAAACTTGGCCTAAAAGCTCCATCACTTTCTGACTCACGACGTTCATGACCTACTGAGTTATAAAGTTTTTCAGGATAATAAGAATAAATATCTCCATAACTCATTTTTAATAATAAAATCTTGTTTTTACAATGACGTAAATATAAAAAAGATTTATCGTCGTTTCGTTAACGAGTTGACGAAACAAGATTTACACATTTTATTGTTTTCTGTTACACAACAACAAACAAGGAGAACCCGACCTGTGCCCCAAACATTACTGATATTGGTTAGTTTAATACTGTTTATTAAACGTGTTTTTTCAAAAAACCAAATAAAAGTTTTCTGCATGATTATGATGAATATATGAAGTCTATGATTTATATTATTATTACCGCCTCTAATACTTTTACAAATAATAGTTTCTAAATTAGCATCCCTCGCCTTAGCACAAAGGAAAAAAAAAAGAGAAAAAAAAAGGTACTAATAGAATACAAAATGATAATTAAGTATTAAAATGACGATAAAAGTAATTGCGTTAAACTTAATTACAAAATCAATTATTAACTTTTTCCTTTTCCTTTAGAACAAATATGATAAACAGATGTAAAAAAAAAAATGAAAAAGACACCGTGAAAAACTAGTTTAAATAAGAAAAAAAATTTTTGTACAAAATCCAATGTAAACTATTAAAATGATGAAAGTTCTTATTTGAAAAAATTCGTGTAGTATTCTATATATTAAATTGCTTAATTTTTGTTTCCTTGAATAATGTTTACCAACCTAAATAATAAAAACATAAATCAATTAATGTTAATGAATACAATAATAAAATTGAAAATACATTAAAACGGGACAAGTTACCAATCTAGGCCTTCTGTTAGGCCATCTCCTTTTACAGCACTTGTTTTATAGATACTCCATTGCCGATTTTTCAACGTACTCAACCCTAAGGCGTCAGATACTTCAGCTGAAGTCAATGCACCAACCATATCTTGTTTATTAGCAAAGACCAATAGCGCAGCATCCCGTAATTCTTCTTCATCAAGCATAGCATGAAGCTCCTCTCTTGAGGTACTCATACGATCACGGTCTATAGAATCTACTACATATATCACTGCATCGGTATTTGCATAATAACAACGCCAATAAGGCCTTGAAGGATATTAAAGACAAGATTAATAAATATGAATTGATAATAAACACCAGCAAATTTATATATATATATACCTTATACTTGTTTGACCTGAATTTATCAAATATAGTTTGCATATAAATAATATGTCAAACAAGCCAATTTAATAAAAGATCATAAAGATAATCTAGGAATAATTGATTCTCACCTCCTAAATCCCATACTATTAATAATAGAAAAAAAAATATTGACATTTGATTTAGTAATAATGAAAACTATAAAAACTATAAAGGTAGAAACTATAAAGTATTTACTAATCTATTAATTTACCTTGAAATTTAATATTTTTATATGTTACAGTTTCAACATTGAAACCAATAGCTATAAATAATTGGTGATAAATCAGATTTAAAATTTAAAAATATAATCATCAAGATTAAAATATAATCATCAAAATTAAAATTAAAATATAATTATCGAATTTAAAATATAATTAGGTCAAGTTAGTTATTAATGAAGAAATTTATAAAAAAAAAAAAAAAAAGAAAAGAATATACTCGCGATCTAATTATAAACTTACTCGGAATAGTTGTCACTACCTCACCGATCTGGAAAAAAAAAGATATCAATGAGTTTCCAATAAACTTTTTTTTTTTTTTGATAACTATTATTGAAAAGAGAATTTTTATCCGAGCATCTTGATCTATATAACCAGAAAAGATGAATAAACTAAATGAATGAAATAAAATCATACCTGTAATCGGTACAATATTGTTGTTTTACCAGCTCCGTCCAAGCCTAAAATGAGTATTCGTACTTCCTTTTCACCCCATAATCGTCCCAACAATCTACTAATATATCCGCCTATTCGAAAAAAAACAAAGGTAAAAGGCTGATGTTAGCATTGTTGGTGAACTTGATCCCAAAAATTCAGCTCTCAAAAGATTAAAAGCAGACCTACCCATCTTTTTTTTAATTTTGTGATGGCAAAAAACTCAACTCTATATATATATATATATCTATATATAAGTTGGTTGATTCACCAAATATCTTTGAGAATTCTTTTAAAAAGCGAACCAACAAAATGATAAAATGCAGTAAATAAAAGATTGAAAAAAATCAAAAATATTGATATTTGAAGGGGGCTTTTTTTTTTATATATATAACAACTGTGAAATCAGAAGTTTACTCGTTACTGGAACTGGAATTTTTTATATAGAATAGATCAAACAGTATCAAACAGTGCAACCAACCACATCAGTATGCATGACTTAAACAATATGTCCACGTTAACAAATTACAAATGTGTAACTACAAAAACCACAGGAATGGGTTCTTTGAACCATTTATAACAACAAAGAATGATAAGGCCAGGACTGGTGTAGACCGATCTTGACCAGACTACGTAATTTAACCGATCCGGTCAAAGAGTTTAGCGAAAATTACGTACGTACGTACATAATATATTTGTATAACTAAACTATATACCTAATTAATAAAAAAAGATAATAAAAATCTGTACGTATGATAACGAATCATACATTTATTTCGATTAAAACCTTAAGCAGGTAAATTTTTTAATTCAGTAAAATGTACATACGTACATATTTCATCTAATTATATGTAAATTCCTTTAAATTAATGAATATATATTTTTAAATTAATGAAGCGTTGTTATATCTTGCAAAAGAAAGTACAAATTTGGGTTTTCATACTTTGGTAATATTGTATTATAATAATAAATTGAGAATCGATAACAGAGATGGTAGGTAAATGACCTGAGATGACAAATGAAGCCTAATTTACTCTTAGGTCATTTAACGTATGCTAACGTTAATTAATATCTTTTAACCAATCAGAATTGGCCACCAAATCGATAACCGTAGCTATATATTAAAATCAAAATTTTACTATATATATAGGTCAATTAATATTTGAGTGTCGCTAAAAGAAAACATACATATTTATATATAGCCTATATATAAATGTGTATGTTTTCTTTTAGCGACACTCATTTATTTTCTGGATACGTCATATTCCGAAATTTTTATGTAAACTGAATAATTCACTTTCGTATTCGATTATACGAAAAATTTTTTAAATTTTTTTTCGGACAATGATAAATACAAAATGCGAAAATGAATTGTTCAATTTACACGATATTGTTCTGAACAACTTTACTTAAGGCATTAACTTTATAAAATTTTGACCTTAATATATTGTATATTGATATTTAAATTACTTTAAAGAACCAAATCATTAGAAATTTGATCAAATGACCAGGTCATTTACCATTAGTGATCCAAATCGCTAGTTGACAACTTTCCAACCAATCGATTTAAAAAAATTTAACGTTAACGTTAACGTTAACTAATCGCTTAATCATCAAACTCGGGCTGTTTCGTGTTGAAATCTTTGGTTTGATTGGCTAATCACCTAATGAGATCATGTGATATTGAAAATCGATTAGTTGCAACTATAGTTGGCCGATTGGCAAAATTTTTACCAACTCGGAACACTATTTACCATCACCGATCGATCATGCGGTTCAGCCTTGGCGTTAAGCGTTAAGTATATATTATACCTTAACCAAAAATAGAGTAGAAAATTCCACAAAAAAAACTTTAAAAGAAATTCTGTAAAACAAAATAAAAAAAGTTTTAAAATTGGAAAGAAAATAAAATTTTTATTCAATAATAAAAATATTCAGCCCTTAAACCCAAACCCACGCGTGGCATGTTTTGACATAATCTCAAACAATATAAATACGAGGAGCGAATATACAATAATAAAAATGTACAAAATTACTCATTCTCATATAACTATATGGAGTTTAGAGACTGGACTCGAGTCAACTCGTAGTTTAAAAACATAGTCTTGACTCGAGTCAACTCGTAGTTTAAAAACATAGTCTTGACTCGAGTTGATTCGAGTTAAGACTACGTTTTTTAAGTTACTCGAGTCCAGTCTCTAACGGAGTTGTGAATAGTGTTTTGGGTCTTATCCGGGTCTGGGTGGTCACCCGGGTTGAGTTGTAACAGTACCCTAGCCAAAAAGATTCTACTTGAAACATCAGCATTCTGATTGGGCGAAATCAATAGATCTAAAATCAATGAATTTTTTTTTATTTTAATTTTACAGTTAAATAGAATTAAAATAAAAAAGTTTCATCAATTTTAGATAGGTGTTTGTCCAGATATCTTCACTCAAAGTTTGGAAAAAACTTTGCCACAATTCGTTAAGTTTTTTCTAAATTTTGAACGATAAACACCCATCTAAAATTAATAAATTTTCTTATTTTAATTATATACCAGAATAAAAAAGTTTTCGTCGATTTTAAATAGGTGGTTTCACTCAAAGTTTGAAAAAACTTTGCCGCAGCTTCTGTTTTTTTGAGTTATCTAAGTTTTTTCCAAACTTTGAGAAGATATCTCGACAATCATCTAGCTAAAATCGATGAAATTTGTTTTATTCTGATTTTATGTGTTTGTATAATTGAAATAAAAAATTTTTTATGAATTTTAGATAGGTGGTTGTCGAGATATTTTCGCTAAAAGTTTAGAAAAAAACTTAGATAACGATCAAAACAAGCTGCGGCAAAGTTTTTTCCAAACTTTGAGCGAAGATATCTCGACAACCACCTATCTAAAATTGATGAAAATTTTTTATTTTAATTCCATTTAACTGTAAAATTAAAATTAAAAAAATTCATTTATTTTAGATAGGTGGTTATCGAGATAACTTCGCTCAAAGTTTTAAAAAAATCACATTTGGATTATTGATTTCGCCCAATCAGAATGTTGATGTTCAAGTAGAATCTTTTTTTTGACATGGCTAGAGTACTAGAGTTAGGGTCCGGAATCAGGCCGGGCTACCCGGGGCCGGGCTCGGCCAGACATTTTTAGGCCCGTAATTATAGCGGGCCGGGCCGGGTCAAGACCGGGCCGGATCGGGCCTTATAAAAACGCCTACTCAAAAAAACCGTTACAG